CACACACACACAGTAACGGGGTGGAGCGGTGGAAAAACAAAGAGTAAAATAAATAAGCAATACAAACACAAACGTAAACACAAACGTAAACACAAAAAAAAACACGCGAACTACATACATATATAGGCCCATGTAACTCGGAGGCGCCTCACACACACACACCACTTTATAAACCTGCGCAGCGTCGAACCTTGCATATCGTCATTGGAAAAAGAAATTCATGCGTTTCGTCATGTTGTTGTCCTCAAAAGTGCACTTGTCCCTGTTGCATGTATTCAGTTCGCCGCGCAGACGCAAACAGGTGCATCGCATGCATGCATGTAGACCGCGCCAGTGGGGAAAGAGGGGACTACTGCCAACCAGGCTCAGATGCTGCTGCTGCTGTTGTCGTCGTCAGCGTCGTCGCTGTCGGTGCTGATGTCGGAGGTGTCGATGTCAGAGTCTGAGTCGCTGACGCTGTCGTCCCCCGAGAACCCGCTCCCGCTCTCGTCAACGCTTGTGTCCGGACCACGCGCGAGAGTGATGGCACCATATTCCGACGAGGAGACGGCCGGCCCCACACGCACCTTTCGCATGTCCGAAGACAGCAGCTCCGCCTGACGGAGTTCGGGGTCCATTACATCGGCAACACCGTTGCCGCCGTTCCTGTCGCCCGCACTACCGTCACCGCCGTTGCACCGCATCGGAACTTCAGATGGCATCGAGGGCGAATGCCGTGGGCGACCAGGCACAGCATGCGGCCGAGGTGGATTTTCCCCGCGAGAGCCTGTACCCGAAGCACTCTCGCTACTGCCTTCTTCCTCTGCGTTTTGCGTGCGGCCCGTTGGGTAGGCGCCTCGCACCGCCATGGAGGCATCCCCCCCATCCTCCCCCTTGTTGTTGCTGACGCCGGGCTGAGACTCCATTGTGAAGGGGTTGAACTCCTCACCTGGGCGGACCGCGCCACGCTTGTGGCTGGCCTCACCGCGAATCGCACTTAGCTCCTCCTTCCGAAGTCGCTCCCGCATCACACGAAGCCGCGTCTCATGCTCCTCTAGCACCGCGTCCTCTGCGGCGTTGAATTTGGCCAGTTCGTGTTCCAGGTACTCCAAGTTGCGATACTGCTCAAGGTAGACAACGAACTGCGATTGCAGATCCCCTTCATGCTTCTCGTATTCCTCCATGAAAGCGGGACGCACGGCCATCAGCGACTTCAGTCTTTTCTGTGCTCGCTCTAATTGCGTCTTTTTGCTCTCAATCTTCTGTTCCAGCGTCGTTTCATCCGCCGCAAGATTGGCAATGCTAGACTGCAACTGTTCTATTTGTTTGCCAACGTTGAAGAGGGCGTCGCGCAGGCGTCGCTCAAACTCACCGACTTCTGTCGCGCGCGACAACACCCGCTGCCGCTCCCCTCGCTGTGAGATCTCCTCCTCAATGAGGAAGAAGAGATCACTGCCGTCGCTTGTAAGGTCGCTGCAGAGCTGCTGCACCCGCTTGGCGTCCTGCACATTCTTTTGGGCCACCATCTGCTGCACGCTGGTGTAGTCCGCCTCCTCCGCCTCGGTGGCTTTCATCGCCTTCTTGAGCACACTGGCTAATATCAGCATCTCTTGCACCGCATTCCCGTCAGACTGGTAGAGTTTCTTGGTGTTGAGTTTAACGCGGCCCTTTGACATGGCAACCTCGCAGATTTGCTTGAAGAAGAAGATGCGATCCCCCTCGCGCTCAATCTCGTACACAATCTCCGCCGAGGGCTCGTAGCGCTTAATGAGCCAAAACAGGCAGTCAGCCACCAGCACCACATTGGGGGTGCGAAAAGACTCCATGCTGATGAGGTTCGGGTACCCCAGGAGACGCATCGTCTCCACAAAAGAACGCACCTCCCGGTAGGACATGACAGGCGTGAACGCTGGCAACTACGCACCAGCAGCAACAAAAAAAAAACTACAACTTTGCGTATCTATGACGTTCCCCTGACTTTCACCGTTTCTCGTTCGCCCTTCTTCACCTATTCTCCCTTATCCTTTCGCTTTATTGACTTCGCTGTGTCCTCTCGGGTGCGTGGATTCACTTCAAAAAACAGGCACACTCTACTGTTGCTAAACCTCCCGTTTTGTTTTGCTTCTTTCCTTCTTTACCTTGCTGTTTGCTAGCTTCTATGGCGACCAGACACTTTAGAAAATTTCTCACCGCCCACACGTTCAATGTCCCTTCTCTACGAAGTGTGTGTGTATGTGTATATTCAAAGAACTGGCGCGCAGCAATGAAGAGGAGGAAGTCCATTCCGCCACTCAGCAAAGATGCAAGTTGCACAAGCACAGGAACATGAAAGGAAAAAGGGGCTGAAAGAAAAAGAAGAGCGTGTTTGTGGTTTTCTATTTTCCTTTTCTTCTCTGTGATATATTGCTGCTGGTTGGACCTTTCGGTAGGCTTAGAGGAGCGAGGACGCTGTGGTTCCGGGTTTTGCTCTTTGCCTCGGCCGTCCCGTGCAGGAACCGCCCACTGGCAGCAACTGCGTCAACGACGATGATCTCCTGCCCACTTGGGCAAATTAAATCACAAACTCATGCACGTGGGGGTGCTGCTCCACTTCCTGCGCACGGCGCCTGGCCTCCGCTCCCTCACCTGCGATGTCTGCATCATCAGTTCCCTCCGGCGCCTCCGCAGCGGGAGGGGCGGCAGCCGTGCCCCTCCGCTTTCCGCTAGAGGTAAAAATCTCATCAAAGTTCAGGTCGAGCGAGAGGCTCATGGAGGCCTCCGCGTTCGCGCCTTCCGTCGCCAGCGTTCCATCGGGTTCCAAGTAGTGCGGCTGATCGCCTTGACTCATAGCCGCCTTCGCCTCCTCGTCGAAGAAGCGTGAAACCAGCTGTTCCCGCGGCGTCAGATCCTCGTCACCGTAGCGTTCGAGTGTGTGGTACAACGCGTCCCACGTCATCTTTGCATCATTGCCGGCGCGGTGGGCTGGAAGCGTGGGTGGGATCTTAAGCCACTGCACGAGGTCCTCTAGGCCCCACGATGGTGGGTGTTTGTCCGGCGTCACAGGTCGGCGGCGGTGGGCGTCACGGATAAGGTGGAAGGTGTCGCCAAACAGCAAAGAAGGAGGGAGCTCCATGCCATGCGCCTCGAGCGTCCACTTGATGAGGGAGACGTCGGCCAACTTCCCACCGTGGCTCAGAACGAGCAGCCGCTTCTCCGCGCCGGGGAGCTCCTGTGGCTCTGGCATCATGAGAACCCCCATCACCTGCTCCCATGCCGCTGGAAAAGTCAGTCCCTGCTCCTCCAACATCGCTGGGGTAATCCCCGTCAGTGCTGAAACCTCCGTTGAGACACGACGTCCGCTGGTGGGCTTCACCAGAAAGGAAAACGTTGCATCGTTCGCGGGGGAGTAAAAGCCAAACTCAATGATGTCCTCCGTGGGGCCATCTGGCCCAAACACAGGAGGTCCCGAAAACTCCAAGTCAAATGTAAAGAGGCGAAACGGCACGGAAAGATACCGCTCAAACAACAGCTGACGGAGCAGGCGCGTACACAGACGCCCCTCCATCGCCAACAGTTTGGCCTCTGTAATTCCCCGGCGATGCATTTCTTCCTCAAAGTGTTGCTGAATAAACTGGCGCTGCGCGCTCAGCGGAGGATGAATGCCTAGTTGGAGCTGCGTGAAGATTTCCAGGTGAGTCAGACTTTGCGCAGGCTTTGCGGTCCTGGCACGACGAAAAAATGATCGCCGCATTGCAGTGCTACAAGATTTTCCTCCCCCACCTCTTTGTTGGCAGCACGAGTGACGGTCCGCCTTTCTTTTCCCCAGTGGCATAGATAATAAAAATAATAATGAGAAACAAGAAACGCCTTCTTTTCAATCTTCCTTTAAAACTCACTGCGGGACGGTGGCTTCTCTCCAAGCCCCAACACCCGCTCGACACCCTCCACCTCACGGCCCGTACACCGCGATCCCCAATGCCGAGAAACAATACCAGCAGGCACACAAAGGGAGAAAAAAACAAGAAAGAAAAATGCATTATGTGGCAGGGCATTGCACAGCATACTGCCTCCGTGCATCCTCTCGCATTTCCGGCCGGTACTCCGCCTCTGCCTCCGCCTCCGCCCCCTCCTGTGGGTATGGGTGTTTGAGGACGCCTGCTCTTGCACCGGCAAAAAAAAAACAACAACAACAACAACAAGAGAAGCCATTCAATGAACAACAACGACGGCAGGCTGAAAATGCGTTTCCAAAACCCAATAAAAACGGTGCTGAGTTTCACAGAAATGTGAATCTGTTCCCGACAAATAGACCCTCATTCCACATACGCACCACCTTCAGTACACAGGCACACACCTCGAAGAGAAAGCTCGCTATCCGTCTCATTCGGTTCGAGCCTTTTGAAACGGTGGTGCCTCACATCCTAGTTCCTGCGATTGCACCGCTTTCTTTTCCCGCCGCTTCCAATCCTCCCACTCCACCATTGCCTTTTCCACCACTTCCTCGGCCCACTCCGGTGTTGGCCTTGGTTGTAGGGCCAAACTATCTGTGCGCACCTCCCCTGTTTTCCAGTTTAAGAACACCACGCGGCCAGTGGTCTTGTCCAGCCCCTCAATAAAATCAGAGCCGCCAAATACTGCCGGGGCACATGGCGTTAACAGTAAAGCTCGTGGATTTAAGTAAAGTGTCGTCTCATCCTCTTCTTCATCGCCGTCATTTTTGTTATTTGTCTCAATCTTCTCGTTTGTGACAACTTTGCCAGTTTGCATGCGATGGCGGCGGTACTTCCGGCACACTTCGTCCAATGTTGGAAAAATATGACGGGGATCCACGTGGGGACGTGATGTGGGCTCCGCTGCTGCCAAAACTGACGCTGAAGACGGTGCGTCTGCGGGAACGTTGCCCACGAGAAACGGATAGATGGGCTGCAGACTTCGTTGTGCCGCCATCTGCACTAACGGGTTCACAAGGGCGGCACGGCGGTGTGGGCTGACGAGCACCCACTCCCCCACTTGAGGATCTCGCACCGGGTCAAAGTTGGGCAGGTACACGTCAAGTTCCTCCCGCACGATCGGCTGATACATCACAAGGCACGCTTCCGCGGAGAAAGTGATCCGGCACGAAACAACAGAAGCAAAAACAAAAAAATAGCGAATCAACAACAAATATCACCTGTAAAAACCCAGAGATTCACCACCGTCGACATCAACGGCAACTCAGGCCAAATGAGCTTTCGCTCTCTCCTTGGACGCTGCCACCACAGCTCCCCACCCCCAAAACCAGCAACAACGACGCTAGCTAACGCGACTCGTGAGAGTCCGCAAGTACGCAGGAAAAAAAAAGATGAAACGGCACGCACCAAGATTGGAAACACCAGCAAAAACCCGCACACACACACACACATCTCAAGCGAGTAAGCACATGTTTTTTTTTGTTTTCCCAGTTTTCCCGGTTTTCCCCCTTATTTTGTTTTGTCATTGCGTGTCCGTCCGTTCTCTCGCTTGATATGCCTAAGACATAAATATTTGGCAAAACTTGTAGAGCAGGCAACCTGGAATACCGAAGACGACAACAACGATCATGAGGCATGCAATAACGGCGAAAACCCTCTCAGTCGGAGTCATTATGGTCATCCCACACTCCGCAGCCACTTTGGAGATGAGAGAACAGACGTAGCTCCTGGACGGAATCTTACGACGGGGAACACCATCGTACGTCTTGGAAAGATCCGAAGGAAGGGGCCTCCTCCCGACGCCTTTGCCAGTCAAGCCAGAGGGTGAGGTGTTCATCGTCACAAGTACTCACTCAGAGGCAGGTCCGGCCCTTTCTCTCTCTCTTTCTCTCTCGCTCTGTCACTATATATATATATACAGATATAAAGCTATATCGTTTTCGGTTGTTTGGATTGTTCGTCTGCTGAAGGTACGTGACGCCCACGGGGAGAAAAAGTGGAAAAGGCGTAGATAGCGAGAGGGAGGTGATTCTTTTCGCTGACAAAGCACCCCCAGCCTTACTTTCCCTAACAGACAATAACAAGGAAAAGGACATCGTCTGGTGTCTTTCCCATGGAGCTCCCGTAACGAACGCAATGCGTTCAGGACGATGGCCAGTGGCGAGTCCAAGCCACACACACACACAACCCACAGTTGCCAAACAAGAAAAAAAGAACACAGACACACACACACACACACATACACACTGACAAGATGGAAAGACTAAAAAAGCAGCTTGAAACTCGCCTCCCTGCACCGGGGGGCCGCGTTGCGTTGCACTGGGCGGGATTGCAAAGACTCACTCATGGCGTCATCTTCCTCGTAGCAACATTGGAAGGGATGCAACGTGGAAGTTGGAGTAGACGCATATAAATAATAGACTTTTCGGCAGAGAAATCCGTAACAGTTTAACCTTCCCTCTCGCAAGCCCGCAGAAAACACGTGGTGCGGCCCCATGTAAGTTGCAACCCCATCTATCCAACCCCTCAAACGCAACGTACATCCAAAAAGACAATAGAATACCATGCAAAATGTTTCTATCTTTTTTTTTATTATTGCAGAGAACAGCTAAATGCTAGCATGTTGCAGAGCGTTCTTTTCCGACAAAAAGGCAGGGCCAAAGCAAGCCAGAGCGGAGGGTGTAGGCTTGCCAGTCCCTGTAGCGGCTCATGCTTCGCTCCTTTCGCAGAATAAATGGGGCGAACAATCCGACCCACACCCACGCGAGCACGCCAAACGATCGTATGTCCTTCGATACGAAGGCGAACGAACCGTAAATAATCATTTCTCCCAGGTAGTTGGGATGTCGAATACGAGAAAAAAAACCATCCGTAATGAGAGTCTTCTCCTTTTTCAAGACAAAGTACTTTTGGCAATCGCTGCCCAGCATCAAAAAAAGTCCAATTGAGTACACGATGATAGCCGCACATAGTGACATGTTGGAGTGTTCTGCGTGACCCACAATGGCGTTATATGCAATATACCAATAAGGGCCCAATACACTCAAGAAGATGGCAATGGCACTTCCACAGGTAATTTTCTTTTGCCACTTTGGATCAGGAAAGACAAGCTCCTTCAGCAACCAGCAAAGACCGTATCCACCGTGGAGGGCAGTGTATGTCGTTGCTGTTGCGGAGTAGTTTCCTGTTTTATGCATCATCAAGAGACAAATGAGCAGTGAACCCCCCTTTTGCATGTTAATAACATGAGCAACCTTAATAACCTTCGGCCCCCCCAAACAATCCTCATTCAGATGGTCGATAAACGCAAACCACTTCTTAAGCAGAAAGGGGAACTCCTGCTTCTTATTCTCCACGGTTTCTGAGGACATTTGCTGGCTATCTTTTTTGCCTCGTCTTGATTGCGGTGCGCTCCTATCGATGTCTATCTATTACCACACGCACACACACACACACATGCAAAATGAAAAAAAAAGGAATTTAATGGGAGGATTCTTCAGAAATACTTCATAATTAAATAATAATAATAATAATAATAGAGAAGCGGTTAGGGCGACCCACACACCAGTTCATACCACACTTCAAGGACGAAGCAGAAGTGAAGACACTGATATACGTGGTCCATACATTTGCTGCCTGTGAATCCACAAGACCAGTTGCCTTCATCCCCTCATGCCACACTCACAAATTCACCTTCTATGTGTCGCAGCAACACGGCAACCAACTGTTGTCTGTCCTCTACTGCATTCAAGTCATCGTGTAGACCCTCTAGTCCTTTACCACCCTCAATAAACGCACTCAAGGGGAAATCCTTGCCAAGTCGGTGGTCCGTCACGCGATTCTGAGGATAGTTGTACGTACGCATCTTATCTGATCTTTCACCACTACTCCATTGCATTCTCCAGGCCTCGTGAAGAGACGAGTTTTGGTCCTTGACGCGTCGTGCCAACAATTGTTGGGCGACCGTTTGCAAAGCACATTCTTTGTTTCCTAGGGCAGATCGGGACTGATGGCACTTCACAGAAATACCAGAGGGAAGATGTGTGAGACATACTGCGTTGGAACTGCTTTGCATACCCTGGCCACCAGGACCAGAACCTCTCACAAACTCAATCTTGCAGTCGCTTTCATGAACGTCCACAGACACAGGATCAAGTAAAGGCATAAGCGTTACCACCGCCGTGGAAGTTTGCATCTTGCCGCCTTGATCGGTAACAGGAACCCGCTGCACCTTGTGAACGCCAATTTCATGGCGAAAATTGCGATAAACACCGTCACCTATTGCTTGAAATTTTACCCCAGTACTGGCAAGGACTGGAGCCGTGAATGCAGAGGCATCACCACCGTCACCACCAGCCAATCCTGTTCCTCCCCCTCTGCCTGCTCCCTCCTTACCTGCTTCGATACGCCAATTTCTGACATCCACAGCATAAGCCTGGTACATCCCAGCTAGCTCAGTCGCAAACAACGAGGCCTCTTCACCGCCCGCTTTCCCGGCCACTTCCACTATCCATGCACGACTTGCGGATCCTAGTGCGTCACTAGATTCAAGCCGACGTGCCATCACTCCATTTACCTGATCATCCAGCTCCCGTACCTGGCCCAAAAGAGATTCAATATCTTCTTCCAGCATCAAAAGAAGGTCCCGCTCTTCTCTGTTTGTATCCTTCACTAAACGAATTTGATCTCTCAATTTTACATTATCATTCAGTTTCAACAAGTAACCAGAAATTACCTCAGCAACGTCAAGCTCCTCTCGATATTGAATGTTCCACATAACATGATCAAAGGGCTTTCCATTAAGCTTACTTTTCAATGCACGTAATGCATCTGTTTTGCCCTGCTCCTGTAATCTTTCAAGCTCCTTATGCTTTTGATTTAATCGAATAAAATACTCTGTAACTAAAGGGTGATGAATAGGGTTTAAAAGAGCTCGAGTGCTTTCCTCGAGAAACCATTTATGATACGGAATAGGATTTTCATGCGCCAGTTTCTTGACCCCGCCTTGTGTTCCCCCTGCACCAAACAGAAGCAAAAGTACTCTCCGCATTATATTGTCTATAATAGGAATTGTAAAAGAGAGAGAAAGGAAGGAGAAACACATATAAATGCAGCACAGAAATTATAATCAAAGTAAAGCACACTTGATAAGGGTAATTTTAAAGTAGGTAGATAAGTTTCATTTACATCACAGCTTCAGTACCAAGCTTTCCACGTGCTCTTCTCTCTCTCATTCACACTTAAAAAAAAAAAAATTGCCTCCAATCTTTGGGTGTGCCTACGCGTACATTACTTGCCTTTGTTGGCGATGTTGCATTTCTTTCTTTTTTTTTTTCACATTTTTCATTCTCGTCATCCCTTCAGTTTTAAGTACATGTACATTCCAATGCACATATATACATAAAAAGACACACACAGATGTCATTTTGAGCGAGGTGGAATTGTTTACATCTCTCTAAAAGATAATAAACACAAAATTCATACAGAATCATCTTGGTCCGTAAATTCCTGAAACTGCTTGTATGTGATGTCACCATTTTCATCCGCGCGGTCATCAAATAAAATAGACACCAGCATATCCTCATCTTCTTTTGACATATTGTAATGCATAATTTCATTAAGTGAGCGCCGAAACACATCGCGATTCAATCGTGATGTAGAGCTATGATCACCAAGAAGACGAAACTGTTCTTGTGTCGTGCCCCTCCTTTGTATCAACTTCTGTCGCAGGTCAACTGCCAACTTTTTCCTCCGCTTTGCACGTTCAGCCTTTGAGGCAACCTCTTTGAATGTCTCATCTTTGGTCATATTCACACTCTTCACTGAGCGCGCCGTGAGTGACGCCTCATCCATGTGTCCCGAAGAAGTGATATTCACAACATTAAGAAATTGGTCAAATGAGATAACGCCAGTACTATCAGGAACAATATTCTGTACAAGCAAAACAGCCTCCTCATCCGTTATTCTGCAGCTACAAGAGCGCAAAAACTCAAGAACTTGACGATAGCCAAGCACACCTTCAGGTGCGAGCGTACAATAAGCTTCGTGAACCCGAAGAAACTTCAATTGTATCTGTTGCTTAAATAAAAGTAGTAAATCCCTCACTTGATTTTCTGTTGTAACGACTTCTTTATCCTCCAAAATCCTCTTGGTTTCGTCATCCATCGCAAGCAGTTTAAACGGCCGCTCCAAGACAATAATCTCCTTACCCACCTCAAAGTCTTCAGGAGTATAAGAAACAGTAGAACCGTCAGGCAACCGTTTTTCATAAACTCCTCTGCGGAGAAAGCGTCCAGCAATAAATCCTGAGTTTCTTTCGGGTTTTTCAAAAATCTCAATCTCATCCTTCTCTCGATAAAACGAAATTACAAACTTTCTCTTTTCATCTCCTCGAACCAATGGGTTAGCCAGTTCTGCCAAGAAACGCATGACACGTCCCTCTTCCTTTTCTATTTTAGCAAAATCAGGTCGTTGAGGTTTTGCTGTCAAGGTAACCCAGTTAGCGCGTTTTTCACGTTCACTACCAAATCCATTCGGTGGAGGAGGATAAAACTTGATCGGGCCCTTCGCATCAACTTCAACAAATGGAGTAATGTCCACTTTGGGAGCAAGTTCAATACCAAGTTTGGTTTTCATGTATTCCCGTGTAAAAGGGTCCGCGTCATAAACGTAATATGGTTTGCCATGAATGACGTAGGTTTCGCCAATTCGCATATCATCAGCCACAAGGAAGTCACGTTTCATTATGACGCCAAAAGTGTGTTCTTGAAAACGAGTTTTTTGCATGTCAACACCAGGGCGAGGAACTCTTTGGCAACCCAGTAGTGTTACACCACCAATGCGTCCAGAATTCTCAGGTCTTATTTCCATAATTTCAAATGTGTCATTTTCTAAATAAATACGAATGACACAAAAACGCAAATCCCCTCTAAGATTTTCACGATCGTCCCACAATGCAAGAAACGTCAAGTGCTCATTTATATTGTGTTTTAAAAATTTCTTCGCAGCAATAATATCTTCCGTGGGATGCTTTGTGTAAATACCAGTAAGTTGTTGTTCAATGGCTCGCTTTCTATCCATATCCTCAGAGGTTGTCATGCGACACGTAGTTTTGTAGTGCTGCGCTCCTATTGTGGCTCCAAACTTGTCTAGCTCGCATGGCCATGGTACCGCCTCCGGGACCTCTTGACCGCGTATTTTTTTGTAGTAAAGCCGACTTCGCTCATCCATATCCAAAAGATAATATTTTCTTTGAAAAATTTCAATTGAGCCCCCAATGTGAAAATCATCAAGTGTGATAAGTTCACTGATGTCATCCATTTTTTTCGGCACCTGTCGACGCGACAATATCCTCGATTGCACAATACCACTATTGTCTTGTCTCGCTTCTACAACCGAAATACTGTTATCTTGTGTATAGTAGTGAATACATACCTTTCTCACAACGATTGTTTCGATCGGAGATTCTGGAATGTCCTCCAAAAAATAAGCCAAAAAACGAACCACATAGTCTTTCCCACCGTTTGGTACATCAAAGTTCGCACTAAGCCATCCATTGAATACACCGTCTTCATCGCTCTCGTCATCATCGGCTGCAGATTCCGTCCTTGACTTCCCTCCTCGGGTAAAACCACCTCCGTTGTAAATATACTCGGTATGGGGCGCGTAATCCACCTTTTTGGGCAATAAAAGGTTATGACTTTTGCGGAGGTTTTCACGGCAAAATGGATCGTCATGAAAATTGGCACCTATAGACAAAGGCAAGTTGTTTTCCAGTGTAAAGTTTTCATAACGGCGTGTAGGTTGAGTGCGCGCCGCGGTGTTCTTCATGTCTTACAGTTGCCTGCAAAAAAAAAAAGCAAGTGAAGAAAATTAGTAGGAAAAAAAAAGGTAATGTTAAGGAAGATAAAAAACATTACAAGTTAAATCAGCTTTTATTGATTCCTTCTTTTTTATTGTTATGATCATCATATTCAAAATCTTGATAGGTGCTATCCAAAGCAAAGTAAAAGAAGCATAAAAAATGATAAAGGAGAACTATTTCTATCTTTAAAAACAAATATATATATATATATTTAGAAACAGTCTCTCCAATTTTGTTCTTGGAAATTGTGCATGCGTTCTAAGACAAAAAAAAAGAAAGTGATAAACACATATCTACCTATACCAAAAAAAAAACATGTATAATAAGGGGAAAAAAAAGTCTTTTTTTTGGGTGGGGGGCGTCTTCGTCTAAGATGAAAGGCCCGTTGAAAGTAAAGGCATCTCTAATGAAGCCACACTGGTGAATTTTTGTGAAACATACTTTCGACGAATGGCTTGCAGTTTTGAAGAAGGAGAGGACAAGGTTTTTGTGAAACTCAAAAGCCTCTCTGTCAGAAAAAAAATTTCGTCTAGTGTGATTCCCCGACTAACGTGAATCATCTCGCAATCCCATAGCTTTTCTGGTAAAATGTCTACACTATCCACACAACGATTCCACGCCACGAGTAAGCGACCAAGTACAACCGAGGCAGCTGCAACACGGGAAGGCAAATACTGTAGCAGCTCATAGCTGTGAGAGGCTGACTCCAAAAAGAAAAAGGTTGCATCACGCACCATCGACTCATTATCTCCTGAGTCCAGAAAGTGACAAGCCAGCGGGTACGCCGTCGGAACAGTAAATTGAAAACGCAGTGTGGCGGCAATATCACGCTCCATCCCAAAAACCTCACCTGCTGAATACGTATTTGCACAAATAAATACGCAATCTTTTATCCCTGGAGGCCATATTTCTTCATGTTTTGCCGCAATGAGAATAGAAGTGATGCCGACCAACTGAAGCTTTCGTCGGCTTACCTTTTTGGCACATAAATATCGATCCACAATGTCAATGGCCAGGTAGAATGACTCAGGATGAAGCTTAAATTTTATGGTCACGTCAACAAGCCAATCCACAAGAATCATCCTCATTTTTTCAGTTATCTCGGGTTGATTTGCCATGTAAGATGGGTCACGACAATGGCCCCTTTCAGCTGCTAGGAGATAATCGGCGATTTCTGTACTGTATTCAGGCACATACGCAGAACGCTCACTCAAATCATGCTTCAAACTATGTTGTACAGCATCAACTCCCTTTAAAGTAACATCGGCATGTAAGTTCTTCCCAGCAAGTGGCTGAGAAACTAAGGAAGGTAACGACTTACGCGCTACAATAGGACGGTTAGTCTGATCGGCAAAAACACAAGGCTCCACCATTACCCTTACCAGTCCTATAATGGTAAAGTAGAAACATAAATATGAGAGATAGCAAAAAAGGAAAAAAGAAAAAAAGCAGAAAAAACTCAAATTCGACAAAAAACAAATCCATAAGAAGTAAAAAAAAATGCGTAAGAAAAATTTATACTAAATAAAGCTAAAAAAGGACAAAAAACGAACAAAAACACAAGAAAATGTGAAGAAAAAAGGGATATGCTAAATCACAAACAGTTATATTGCAATAGCCAACAGAACGGAGGGCAACAAGTAATCCATCGCAATGGGTAAAAATATAATAAGCCCACAAAAGAAGGATTCAATCCCCTAGTTCATTTTTATCCCAAACAAATGTGAAAAAAAAAACAATTACATGCAAAAAAAAAGCCCAATTGAAGTAACATGTGCTAAATCAAAACCCAAAAAAAAACGTACTGGAAAGCAGTCATCATTACTTTAAAATGAACAACTGTAAAGCTCAAATAAGAATACACATAATTATTTACCAATTTATTAAAACTAAAAAAAACGCTCACACAAAAGAAGCACAGAAAACAAAAAAAACTTTCATGGAATAACAGAACACTAAAAAAGAATATAACTAAAAACAAAAACTAATAATAGTAAACGGAAACAGCTTATCTAATTCTTCAACAAAATAAAAGCAAACGCACGAGGCAATTGTCAATGAAAAACAGTCACCAAAACAGGTGCAAAACCAGCCCGCAACCATCAGGAAGTGTCACTCCGTACACCTACCACGAAGACAAACCATTGTACAGCACCACCCCAGTTACACAGTGCAACAAAGGGTAACCCCCCAGAATAGGATAGGAACTACTTTTATCCACAACGATAAGAAGCCTAAAACAATACAAAAGAACAGTTGGTACTATGATCGCATACGCGTACCAATTCAACCCCCAGCACTGGGGCCTCAAAAGTCAAAGGTTATAATTATCAAAACTGCGGCCGAAGAGGGGATGCTGAAGGAGGCTGTTGACCTGCCCCCCGCGCCACCCTGCGTAGCGCTCAAAGTTGTTTGCTCCCTGACCCTGCGATGGCCTCTCTGCCGGATTCTCGTCTGGCACCACACTGCCCCACGCAGCATTTCCCCGCAGCTGCCGCCAAATCTTGCAGTCGGCAGCCCCCCTCCCCCACTGAGGCCCCCGCATGTGCACTGCGCTTCTACAGCGCGTGCGTGAGTGCATGAGTGCCGCGCTGCCGACTCAAAAGGCGGCAATATGATCAGTCGAACTCTTTTCGAGCGCTCATGCTGGCTGCTCAACGGCTCGCGCCTCTGCCGACTGCCACCCCGAGGCTTTCAGCAGCCACATGCCCCCCACCCGTGCGCGGAGGCGCCTGCCACCGACGCCTCCGCAGGCAGAACGGCGCAGTCTCCAGGCATTTGGGGCACTGCGCGCCCTCAGCTTGGGGAGGGGCGACGCCCGCCAGCGCGCACTTCCCAGGCAAAAATAATACCGAGAAAAGTGCCCCACCCAGGTCGGCACTCCTTTTTTTTTTGCTCTGCCTTTTCTGCGGCGCCTTGCGGACAGACTCCGCCTATGTGTTAAAAGGGGGCCGCGCTACTACAAAGTTTTCCGCCGCTTGGCAACTGTCATTGGGAAGTTTTCGGGACGGCAATCAACGCTAAAGCACGGCAGCTGGTATGAAGCCGATGCGCCGGGGAATTCAAGAAAGAAATGAGAAAAGTTTACTGCCGACCGCCGACCATACGATTGCAACACTAGTCGCCTTGCTCTGCTGTTTCGATTTCCCTTACCGCCCAGAGTGTGTACTCAGTGCGTTCTGTGTTGTGCGGGGCTTGTGTTTGAACGGAAGACCACATCACAGAAACCGCATTTCAGCCCAGAAAGGGGCGGAGGGTATTACGGGCAAAGAGGCCGACAACAATGCACGGTGAGGTTTTTGTAACCCACCCACACGGCATCACAGTACGGGCATTTCTCCTTTTGACAACTTGTGGACGGCCGTTTTCCCGCGGGAGATGCAGCAGTCGCAGGCCGCGTCGGATAAGCAGCGCCCGTCCATAGTGCACGTGGGTCGGGGCTGGAGCGCACGATTGCAGCTTGTTCTGGCTAAAGAGCTCAAGAACGAAAGTGAGTCAAACAACTTCTCACTGTTCACAATAAGCGACTCCAGAGCTCAGACCCCCCAACGCCGTGTTTGTGCCAGGTGCGCCAGTTCAGTTCAAACAAGGTCTTCCTGCGCAATT